GAAAAGTCAATGGTCAACAGGATAAAAAAGTTCTAAGAAGACGCGTCACTTTAGGAATATAATTAATATAAGGAATATAATTAATGTAAATATAATACACTCAGTTTAACATTAGACAAAGCAGGTGTATTAGAATAGTAACTATAATATTCAAGACTCGTTATCAATCTATAATTCACATGGCATGGTGGTAACAGCGTTGTAAAGAGATAGAATCATCCTAAACATGGTTGGGAATAAGTTTGGTAATAAAAAAGCTGGAATCATACTGAATGATGAGAATTACGTTTGAAGATAACCTGGCTCATACAAGCATTTTTGAAGAGGGGGTGCGACTTTCTGGGGAGTCATTATCTACTCTAATTTTGGGGTCCTATAACTTAAATATAGAAATGAAAGGAATACGTATTAAGGTAATTAAAGAAACAAAAATGTAAGTGAAAACGGTGTTCAAAGAAATAAAATTATATTGGTATTCTTAATGTAGGTCAGTAGAATACAGTCTTCGCCAAAATGTTTGCATACTGTTCTATGTTGATGTTATTATCTCCATGCATGGCGTAGTTATTGAGTAAATGCTCGAGTAGTAACAGAGAAGGTAGCGTATGATCGGACAAACATGTACGAGTTGTTATTCTGGTCTGTATAAGTTGTTTTGGCCATCTGTTTGTCAAAACACACATACACACCTGTTTTAGATAAAGAGTGTGCTTTTGGTATAATCTTATTCCAAACAGATCAACGCTTTGTTCAGACAATTTCTCTGTATTTGTCATAGAGTCATGCGTCGTCACGTGCCAAAAGTTATAGGTCGTCAAATTGTTTGACTGTCCAGAAATGGTATGAAGCAAACGGACATTGCCAGAACAGTAAGGTACCCCCAGTGTACTGTATCCAGAATATTGAAACGTCATCGGATTACAGGAAACCTTGTTTCAGGAAATTCTACTGGTAGACGCGGAAAAATTATTGCCTGAGATGACCGTGTTTTGATCAAGTTAACACGTCAAGGTCGAAAGAAGTCTTGTAACACCTGACGACAGGAATGACATGAACACATGTTCCAGGATGACAATACCACTGCCCACAGTGCGCATATTGCGCAGGATTATCTCGACCAGGAGGACGTTACACGATTGCCATGGCCAAAAAAGTTTCTAGATTGTAATCCCATTGAAAACTGTTTGGCAGAACTGAGCCGGAAAATTGCTAACCACGATCTTAAACCAGCTACTGTAGCTGAGATGCAGCATCTTCTAGTGACAAGTTGGTATGAAACCGTGATGGATTACATCAATAACCTCATCGACAGCATGCCACGTCGCATTGCGGAGTTTATTAGAGTACAAGGAGGACCAACCAATTACTGAATGTTTAATATGAACTGATATAAGATTACAGACGATATTTATAATAATTCTATGCTATATTTTGTCATTATATATGTCTTGGTAAGGTTTTGTTGTGATGGGTTAAATGCTAAATCACATATCTTTCTACAGGTGTCTGATAAGATTGTTTGCTGTTTTGATACATCATTCAAGATGTACATAGAACCTATTTTATTATATAAATTACATATGTATATGTTTAATATAAAATGCATTTCTCAGTTTGACAACACTAAGTGCATTTGTTTTCCATTTTAATAATAATTATCTTAATTGTTACAAAATATGCAACATTTTGGCCAAGACTGTACTTTTTAAAGTGACGTGACTCAATTCGAGAACTCTAGTTCACGACAAAATCATTAAATATCGTAAAATATAATAAAAACTGACTAACTAATGTAACTAAATGTCACTCAAAAATAATAAGATTAAACAAGTATATAAAGACACTAAAATTATTAAGCATTTTCTATGATGTCTATCAGGAGCTCCATTTTTATACAGATCTGAATTGGTCGGTGTATTTTGATTCGTCTGTACATTGATTGAATCTGTCGATGTATTTTTATCGATACAGATAGAATTTGTCAGTGTATTTTAAGTGCTTTAAATTGAACATTTGAGAACCTTTCAGCTTTCAAAATAATATGTCATTGAATAACTTAGAGTTATTATTATTTTTTTACTAATTTGGAAATTATTTCACAACATTACGGCCAAAAATATCGTTAACAGCTATGGTTTGAATTTCGCACGAAGCTACACGAGGGCTATCTGCGCTAATTTATCAGTGAAAGACTGGAAGGAAGGCAACTAGTCATCACCCCCCCCCCCCCCCCCCCACCGCCAACTCTTGGGCTACTCTTTTACCAACGAATAGTGAGATTGACCGTCACATTACAACGCCCCCACGGATGAAAGGGCGAGCATGTTTGGTGGGATGGGGATTGCGAGTCAAGCGACCTAACCATCTGGCTATGCCGGCCCAACAGCTAGGTTACTAATGATAAATGAATGCATTATAAACATTATTAGTAATAAAAGTATATTGAATTAGATATATTAATTATGAAGTTAGTTTGTAGCTCTGCTAAATATATCCCCCGGCCAGTTAGCAGTATGTTTACGGACTTAAAATGCTAAAATCCGGGATTCGATTCTTGCAGTGGACAGAATGCAGGTAACCTATTTTGTTGGTTTTCGTTAAAACAACAACGGCGAGTTGTGGTCTATGTAAGGTAGCTTGTTTTGATCATGAATTATTGATAATTGTAATGTTAAGAAACATCAATAATTTTACATTATCTGTTTAACCCAAGTTTTCAATGTAAAGTTTCTTTGAATTTCGCACTTTATTCTGCTATTTTCAGTCCAAGAAGGGCTTGCATCATAACCACCCGCTAACGTCAGCCTTCAACGATGGATTTAGTAGCAGCAACAGCAGTACCACTAGTGAAAGCTGCGAAAGCCACGAAATTAAATTTACGAAGAAAGGCGGCTGTACACCAACAACTTGGATCTGCGTGATTTTGGCGCTACTTTTCGTGACGGTAGGAGCAGCAGTTGCTATTTATTATGGACGTAAGCATAAGTTCATTTATTGATGTATTTATCTTATGTACTACTTCCCAAAAAGAGGATTGTTTCTCTTTGACACACATTGTTCAAAGTAAACGTTCGACGACAAGTAACAAGAACTGTCTTGAGTAGCTTGCTAGCTCAGGTCGTCATTAGGTCTTAGCAATTACAAAGAGGTCCCCCAGCTAAATAGGAAGGATGAAACTCGTTACAATGTTATTTTTACAATATAAACGACAAAAGAGGGCGTGTTTATACAGAGAGTGGAAATTGATGGAATCATCTTATATTACAGAAAATTATTAGTCTAATTTCCTAATTAGTCAAACACTCCAAAACAATTTTTTTGATATATAATTTAAACCAAATTCGTGACTATAAATCAGTTTTCTTTTGCCTAAATCTTAAAACTGTTTTATACCCTTTCTCGTAGCTGTTTGTTTTGTTTTTGAATTTCGCGCAAAGCTACACGAGGGCTATCTGCGCAAGCCGTCTCTAATTTAGCAGTGTAAGACTAGAGGGAAGGCATGTAGTCATCACCACCCACCGGCAACTCTTGGGCTACTCTTTTACCAACGAATAGTGGGATTGACCGTCACATTATAACGCACCCACGGCTGAAAGGGCGAGCATGTTTGGTGGGACGGGGATTCGAACCCGCGACCCGCAGATTGCGAGTCGAGCACCCTAACCACCTGGTCATACAGGGCCCTTTCTCGTAGCAATACGCCATCCTGCGTGCGAATGCACATCTTGAAATTTGATACGAAGCTGCAATGTTAAGTTTTTTCATATTTACAGCAATAATTCTAGGCTAGAGAAAAGATAATACGATACAAATCATAACAGGCTTTTATAAGACAAAATTATAGTACTAAAAATATTTTATGTATTTTTTTGATCAACAACAAGAAAACAACGATATTTTTTTCCAATGTCTAAAAGGAAATCAAACGGTTTAATATTACTTCTTTAGGATTCCAGCGTGATGTTAATGTTAACACTGATAATTCTGATAATTAGATTGTACATTCACGCTCGCATTAAGTAAATACCACAACAAATGAGATAAATGGCTCAAAACTATAACATGCCTAATTGTTTAATTAGCTAAACATAACTAAATAGACATCTCCGTGAATACTAATCAACCGTTTCCATTAGGTCATATTCAGATAACTCCAACGTTAAGTGCAGGTACAGCTCGATAAAGACCACAGAATACAATCAACCAAGCTACGGATAAGAGGATAAAGGGAATCAACAGTATTCTCATGGTGTCGTATAAATGGACAATGGAATGACAGTGAAAGTCAACGAAAACTCGCCAGGTCACTTGTAAACTCGCTGTCCACAGTGAATAGGGTGACAGTGGAGTTCCAGTCACGTCTGAAAACAGTTTCTGCACAATCCAAAATCAACAAAACAGACTCTTCATGCTGTGAGAAGTGTGTTCCACGTCAATGGTCACTGCTGTTGCAGATGCAAGTGTGTTTCTATACCAACAGAAGTTATCTTCATGGTATGGGCTACAACAAAAAAGCAGATAGATGGAAGCTACTTCTCATTTCGTAAGCTGACAGCAGTGGGGATCACAAAGTCTATCACGACCTCCTCCCTTTACTGGAGTTTTCTGGCGAGTCCAGATTTGTATAATTCTCTGACAGAACACCCATCTGAGTTTCACGACTATCCTCACATGAAATTTTATTGAACCGTCTGCAAGCCACAATAAAGTATGGTTGTATTTCTTTTATGGTGTGGAGTGTCATCTGTGCATCTGGATCATCACAGCTGATGACATGCTAAACGACTACTGCTGTTCAATACATCATAATTCTCGAACAAGGCCGTCTACCTGTCTATGGCAATGTCCAGCTTACCAAACAAAGAATTGTTTTCGTGCTAAGTAACAAAATGTTAGTTTGAAAATGAGAGCATTTGCATTCTCCGGATTTAGACCAATCGTCGAATAGGATATGGAATCTTCGAGGATGTGTGGTCCATCTTTGATCGCTCCCTGCGAAAATGTTCAAATCAAAACAAAGAACTCCTAGGGACATCCGTCTCTCAGTTCTTCGCCAGAAATGGTGTGTAAATCCACTGGCCAATATTTCAGATCTTGTAAATACGAAGTTTAACTGCCTTACATATTGTAATGGACAGATCCATTAGGTACTAAAATTACACTTGTAGTCTTTGTTTCATGTTATTTTATTTAATAAAAGGTATCATTTTTATAGTGGGCGTCTATTTATTAATTGGTAAGCTGTGTGTATATCTAGCAGCTTTTTCTGATCAGCATAGACTTAATTACGATCTTTGCATCATAAATGACGAATTTTATAAACAAGAAAAATGAAAATAAATAAAATCTGTATAGGCTTAGTCCTGTGCACTCTATAAACGAGTGCTTTTATATTGGGTAGCCAAATCTTCACAACGGAGTTAGGTCTAGGTAGTAAACAAATCCTCAGTACTGGTTGCTCTTGCTTATGTACTCTTCCTTGTCGCTTTTTAAATGAAATATTATATTATTTCCCCTCTTCTGTTAATGGGCCTTGCTGGGTGACATGGTCTTCAATTAAGGTATAGTGAAGATTAATACTGAATATAGTTCTAAATATATATATAATTCTTGCTCAGAATTTACTTGGTATTATTCAGAATTCTGACTTGTCCTTGTCAAATGAAGTTACCTGCTTTTCGTTGTACAGTAGAAATCAAACAGAACAAATTGATCCTACAGAGTTAAAGTATTTATAAGTAATTTCATACACTTTAGATACATGCACGTGCCGTAATCAATTCGATGTGGAATAAAGTGTTTTTATTTGTTGAACATTTTATTTCATCAAATGTTGAATCAAACTTTAAAACAAATCTACAAAGCAAATCATCTCGAAACTTTCGTTTTAATAACAATCTGTTTTCTCAGAAGAGCACACTGCTTAAATATAAATGACGTTACAAAAATTCTAAATGTCTTTTACTATTAATATTTTATTCTTAAATCTACAAGTTTTTACTTATTTACTTTCTAATTTGAAATTTATTTTGTGATTAGAAATGTTAATTGTCATTCATGTTTCTTTCTTTCTAGTCCACTACCTAAAAATGGAGAAACACAGTGGTAAGTTTTTTCGTTTATCCTGTGGTGAGCACTAACAAAGTAAACACATTTATCCTGTAAACACATTTATCCTGCATTTAATACCGGAATAAAGTATAAATGCTTATCCTATGGTTAACACCGTAGTAAAGTGTAAATGTTTATCCTATGGTTAACACCGTAGAAAAATGTAAACGTTTAACCCGTGGTTAGCACTATAATAAAAGAACATGTAAATCTGATGATAAGTATAAAATAATCACAAGCTCAGTAAATGTGACGTAATAATACATCTCAGTTCAATTAAGATCCTTGCGAAAGAGAATTGATGAGAAAAGTCCAGATATGATGACAATTTTTCTAAGCAATTCACAACTCAATCAAAAACGTACTGCAGTTAGCCTATTGTTAGAACTACGTTGACACTTTTGTAGTTAAAAATGAGAGGTTAATAGCGTATCTTACATTTCAGTAAAGAGAACAAGTTAACATTCAGTTTCATTCCAGAACGTGTCTTCAAGGGAACATTTTCTGTAATAGATGGAGATAAATTTACAGAACGACTCAAGGATGCTTTATCTGATGAATTTCAGACAAAAGCCGAACTTTACAAGTCAAAGGTAATTCATTTAAATTGTTCAATCAAGATAAAAAAACAACAACAAGAAAACAAAAATGGGCTATTGAATGTATCACTTCCTAAATTAACTTTAAAAGAGCGTCAAAATAATGAAGAAAAATGTTTTGTTCATGCTTCATGGTACAACTACATGGTTAGAGGAGAAACTTAAGCGTTTCCGTGTAAATTTGCAATCCATTAAAATCCTTTAGAGCTCCAGAACGGAATAAACAGCTATTGTTAGATTATAAAGATATCCGATTGAACCAGAGGAATGATGTCACATTTAAAGAGAAACTCGTCCAGTCTATCACATAAATTGTCGGACTTAGTAGACATCTGATTTATTCAGATGCAAGAATTTAAAGTAAAACTTATCCAACTAATCAATAAATTTATCAGATTTAGAGGCACAAGCTTAGATTATCAGTTATGTACAAACTTAGACCGTCAGTTATGTACAACCTAGGCTATAAATTACGTAGAAACCTATAACATCAGTTATTGTACAATCTGCATCAGCAATTATATATAAATCTAGAACATCAGTTATGTACAATCTGGACTATAGTTATGTACAACCAACACCATCAGTTATATACAAACTTAGACTATCAGATATGCAGAAACCTCAATCATCAGTTAACAATAAATCCAAAATATCTCTCTTCAAATTAAGTGTCATCCACACGTGATTTTTCTTTCTAAAATTAATGCAATCAATTATTCTCTCGTTCAAAAACATAATATTTAAACCACAAAGTATTGCTTATCTGTTCCATTGTGTCTGCATTTAAATTACTTTATAGTTTTTGATAATTAGTACAATTTAAAGAAACTGGACTCTTTCATAACAACGTTTAGATTGTTTAGACGTTACTTCCAGGAAGTATCTTATTACCTGTCTATCACTACCAGGAAGTGTCTTATTACCTGTCTGTCAATACTAGGAATTATCTTATTACTTGTCTGTCAATACTAGGAAGTATCTTATTACTTGTCTGTCAATACTAGGAAGTATCTTATTACCTGTCTGTCAATACTAGGAAGTATCTTATTACCTGTCTATCAATACTAGGAAGTATCTTATTACCTGTCTGTCAATACTAGGAAGTATCTTATTACCTGTCTGTCAATACTAGGAAGTATCTTATTACTTGTCTGTCAATACTAGGAAGTATCTGATTACCCGTCTGAAAATTAAGTACTATTGAAACCAAGACAAGTACCACATTAATGTAATTCTCTTATAATGGTTAATACATGTCGTTGAAACTGTGTCCGCTGAGGATAATCCAGAATATTAACATAACAAATCCTCAAAACCGTGACGAGTTTTTCTTCGACGAGTCAAGCGAGTCTGACTACCGCAATCTTACAAATAAACACTACAACAGAAAGATGTTGTTATTATTTTAGTGTAAAGCTACACATTGGGCTATCCTGAACACTGAATCCCGGATTTTAGCATTGTAAGTCCTTAAACTTACCGTTGACCAATCAGGTGACAAACAATAACAGAAAATATCATTAACACGAAGCATACCTAACTGATGAAACAATGCATTCTAATCTTCATAACTAAGAGCATAATATTTAATTAACTATACTCGTTACTGCGGGATAAGTTTTTAGTTATAATGTAATTAGGTAACTTGCTTTGATTAGAAGTTATTATTAATTCATAGAAACATTTCCTTTCAAGTATAATACCAAGGAAATGGCAGCTTGAAATTTGAGGGAATGGTGTATGTATTACTAAATTAATTTTAAACTACACTTTATGATATGTCATATATCAAATATCATATCATTTAATTTGATATAACTCGCTAGCAAAGTTACAGCTCTTTAAAAGGCGGCTTCCGGTGGCTCAGCGGTAAACAAATAGTCTCTTAACTTCAAGCTTTATGGATTGTTAAACGAAACACCCATCACATCATGCTTCGAATAGTTACCACGAGGGGTGAGAGAGCTAGATCAAAGAACAGGAAACACGCCCTTAAAATATAATTTGTTTGTTATCAATGGTTAAAGAAATCATAGTGTGGAACTTTTATTTTGTTCTTATTCTCTTTTTTTCTTTTATTTATAGTTGGAGATGCTTTTCAACAGTAGCGTTTACAGTAATGGTTTTGTACGTGTAGACGTTATAGCTCTAGAAAGGTGAGTGTCTGTAAAACACTCGACAATAGTGTTTATAGTAGTGGTTTTGTACGGAAGAAATTATGATTCTAGAAATGTGAGTGTTCAAAAAAAGCCACATTTTATAAGGATGAAAATCCACGCATAAATTCAAAGAGAAAAATGTATTTTTTGAAAGAAATTTCAGAACATGAAGACTTATAAATGCATATTTTTGTTATAACTAAATTTATATATTAAATTTAGTTATAATTTTTATATTAAATTTAGCGAAGCATAATATGAAATTTATCTTGTCATCATAGTTTCAGTAAGGTTTAGGGCTCGGCATGGTCAGGTGGTTATGGCGCTTGACTCACAGTATGGGGGCTGCGGGTTCGAATCCACGTCACATCAAACATTATCGCCCTTTCAGCCGTGGGGGCGATATAATGTGACGGTCAATCCTACTATTTGTTGGTAAAAGAGTAGCCCAAGAGTTGACGGTGGGTGGTGATGACTAGCTGCCTTCCCTCTAATCCATCACTGCTAAATTAGGAACAACTAGCGTAGACAGCCCTCGTGTAGCTTTGCGAGAAATTCCAAACAAACCAAACGAATTAGGCTTAATTTATAAAACCAACTTCAGTAAAATGTAAAAACCATACCTGGTAAAGTAAAATTTACTATCACATTAAATAAATATTGTAAAGTGTAAAATAATAGTTGGTAAACATAAAACAATATTTATTAATGTGCAAAATCTGATTTTGTAACGTGTTTTTAAAATATGCGAATGTATAAAATATACTTAGTAAAATGTAAAATTATATTTAATAATGAGTGACACCATATTTAGTAACATATAAAACTACATCTAGTAAATGTAAAATAGTATCTAGAAATATGCAAATATGTTAATCCATATTAAGGAATGTGTAATACCATTACCATAAGCTATTATCAAAGCAAGCTACCTCCATAGACGGGAACAAAAATTAGCCAAGTAAGATAATACAGCTCACTTAATGTACCATTCTAACTAGGTGTATGCAAAAGATTAAAATGCATAGATTCAAGGGCCGGGCGTGGCTTATTTGTTAGCGTGCTGGACTATGGATCCGAGGGTTCATGATTCGACTTAGTTAAAAACAAAGATTCAAGGGCCGGGCGTGGCTTATTTGTTAGCGTGCTGGACTATGGATCCGAGGGTTCATGATTCGACTTAGTTAAAAAACATAGATTCAAGAGCCGGGCGCGGCTTATTTGTTAGCGTGCTGGACTATGGATCCGAGGGTTCATGATTCGATTTAGTTAAAAAACAAAACACTCTCACTTTGGGGACGTGAAAGCGTTATAAGAGGGACGTCAAATCCCATTATTCGATTAGAGTAATCCAAGAGTTCGTGGTGGATGTTATTGATGCTGCTTTTCTTATGCTCCATCAGTTCAAATTAGGAATGACTAGCACAGATAGATTTTGTTTAGATCCGAAACAAACAATATAATTTATTCATCAATTGGATACTCTCGTTGTTAGCTATAATCTTAGTAATGTCTCACGAGATTCGGCTAGTTTAGAAGATTTAGATTTATTTTAAATCCGTGTATATTAATCTAACAATGCAAAATGATCCCTATAATATTAATAATATATGTAATAAGAATATAAATATAAGTATTCAACATTTTAACCAATACTGTTAATGAGCCAACATTAAAAAATAATAATTACTTTCAAAACACATAGACACTATCTACATTTAGGAATGTATAATACCATAATAAACAACGCATAATAACAAGTAAAATCACATATATAATAATATGTAAAACCGTATCTACTAACATGTAAAATCAAGTGTATCGTCTTTGTTTATACTTAGCGGACGCCAAAGTGACGATCTGGTCATCCACTTCAACGTGTATCTTTCAACGAAAAACTTCCAAGGAGACTCTGCAGACCTTTACGTTATTTTAATGGAAGAATTTTTCAGTTTAAAGTACGGTGTCTTCAAAGGGATAAAAATTGATCAGAACTCTGTACAGGTTCAAGGTTAGTAAATAAACTATTTACTTTATTTCACAATTTTAAAATTTCACATTCAAATATTGTATTATACAAAGGGTCAAATTACGTTATATTAAAGCGATTTGGAAAATGCAAATCAGAAAGTCACGTGACAACCACGGCCGATATATAGTCGCGGTAGGAGGAATTATTATATCAGCATTTTGACATTGTTTGACGTTAAGCAGGTGGTGTGATGCCATCAAAAATTGATCATTTGTGCGAGAGGTATGTAACAGCCTTCAAAATATTAATGCATTTAGTAAATAAAGATGTGTTCAGATGAAGGATTTAGAATTTCGAAGGTGAGGACATCTCTTTTACTTAATGGTTTTGGAAGAATTAATATGGATAAGCTTGGGGAATAAGGACCACTCAGAAAGAGAACTGCGACAAGTCGTACTCCTGCCGTGGTGAGCGCAATGGGAATCTTGTAACATGAGAGTCCACGAACAGAAATGTCAGTGGCAAAAGCCATCCACGTACCCCAGATAACAGTACACAACATAATCAAGAAGGGTCTTCATCTGGGAAAGCAACAAAATTTGTTTCCACATTACATCTTTTCAACTGTTGCATACCTCAAATAGCTGGAGAATGAAACGGGTATTCATGTTATACCAGTCAAGTCACAAGATTTCTGTGCATTCAGACTGTTGATACTGATACAGGTAAAATTTGTGCTCTACGATAGATGGACTATGGAAAGCATGCAGGGTAAAGCAGTGTACTCTGAACTTAGCAGCCTTAAAAAGGAGAATTTTGCAATGGAATCTACGATCCAGAGCTATTTTCAAGATATACATTAATCAGAGTGAGCATGACTAGACATAGTGGAATGTAACGACGTAATGAGGCTCTAAAAGGGTTTTAATATATACTACTCAACCTCTGTATTCCACTCTTTATTGGTTAATGTAAGCATTGACTCCAGCGAATTTCCATTATGCTCTTGAATTTTTATAGATTCTGCATAAACTCTATCTGAGAATTAAACCAATAATGTGATTTATTAATATTAATAACTTTATTGTTTGTATTTTTTCATCCCTACTTCTGACGATCAGTTACTTGTTTTTTTATTTTGTGCAGAGAGAACCCCTTCAGCAACAGAGTACCATGATCCTTGGACCCCTCGCCAACAATACCCTGGTTACCTTGAAGGACTAATTACTGGCACTGTTCCTGTTACGTCACCACTGCCAACGACACCACCACGGCGATGTGGTCCAATAGCGTTAGAGTTCTGTAAAACCTTGTCTTATAACGTCACATCATACCCAAATCTGGTAGGTCACGGTGATACACATGAACTCAAAGAAGATTTGATAACATACCGTCAGATTGTGGACTTCGAATGTTACACTCTGGCTCAAGAGTTTGTTTGTCAAATTCTACAGCCTCAATGTCAGAATGATGACGTCATATTACCATGCAGGAGCTTCTGTGAAGGTAAAGCTAAACTAATATCATCGATTCTGATAATATAAATTATTATGTAACATTAAATATTCAGTTTCTTTATGATTAAACCGTTTTTTCTCTCTGGAATAAATCGAAAGGCTGAAAATACTGTACACAGGGGCGGATTAAGGGGCAGACGGGGCTGGGGCTAAATTTTTCCTACCAGGACTAATATGGTCGCGAATAAAGACTAAGGTAAAAAAGAATTAAACGCAGTTTTTTTTAGTTCGGGCCTGGAGCTATAGCCACAATAGCCCCCGCCTTAATTCACCCCTGCCTCTAATATATTGAACAAAACCCAGAACACACAGAAATACACCAGTCCACTCGCTTTCTAAACTTACCGATTTTCATGGATGCGCATGCGCACAACTTAATTGTTGACTATCAGTGAAATAAGATTACATCTCGCGATTCAAATTTAAGTTTTTACTAGATGAATTATTAATGCTGCCTGCGATTATAAAAGCTCAATAGGTAATTCATACATATTAGAAAGTTATATTTCAAGTTTGTATTGTTCTGTTTTTTCTATACACATTTACCAAATCTATGAAATGTTTTAACCTATTCCCATTGGTGGATTAGTGGTAAGCTTCAGGCCTTAATACACTAAAATTCAAGATTCGATCCCTCCAGCCGACACAGCACAGCTACATGATTGAGTAGCTTTACGCTTCACAACAAAAGTTTCGAACGTTAAAATCCAGTTTGTACGACACTTCCACAATTTTAATTCAAAAGGTTTAGAAATATACAACATGTCTTCCGACGTGAAGTTTATGTACAGTCAGTTTGAGCTATAATTATTGTATTTGCATTTGTAACTTTTAATGAACGGAAATACATGTTGAAATGAAAGCTGTTTTGTGCCGTTCTTCAACTGCAAGTGGACAACGATTGCTATCAAAGAACGTGAAAGAGCTATAAGCTTAGTTTTTTTTTTTCTTATCAACTCCTAATAATGTTTTTCTCTCTGGCTTTACAGATTTCTGGAGCTCTTGCAAAAAACTGCTTCCAAAAAAAGTTCATGACAAGATCAACTGTTCGACATATCCAAGGTACAACGGTCCCGGATCGTGTAGTCCTAAGCCCGGTGAGTTGACTGTCTTATAAACAGATTTAATGTAAACATTGTTAAGACAGTAAAAAGTTCATCAGAAAATCGACTGTTCGACATATCCAAGGTACAGCGGTCCCGGATTGTGTAGTCCTAAGCCCGGTGAGTTGACTGTCTTATAAACAGATTTAATGTAAACATTGTTAAGACAGTAAAAAGGTCATCAGAAAATCGACTGTTCGACATATCCAAGGTACAGCGGTCCCGGATCGTGTAGTCCTAAGCCTTGTAAGTTGATTGTCTTATAAAACAGATAAATATATTTTTTGAACCTTGGTAAGCGTTATCAAGTCAGATATTCTAACGCTTATCTGTCATTCCCACTTTAAACCAAGGATTTCTCCACCCCGGGTAAAAAAAAAACGCCGTATAATAACTAGCAAATCAACATTCTAAAGAACCCACCCAACGCTTATCTGTGATTCCCACTTTAAACCAAGGATTTCTCCACCCCGGGTAAAAAAAACGCCGTATAATAACTAGCAAATCAATATTCTAAAGAACCCACCCAACGCTTATCTGTCATTCCCACTTTAAACCAAGGATTTCTCCACCCCGGGTAAAAAAAAACGCCGTATAATAACTAGCAAATCAATATTCTAAAGAACCCACCCAGAGTTTAAAGAATGATTTGAACCTTTTTCTCTCAACGATTTCTCCTCTCTGGGTAAGTAACTCCGCCTGGTGACTAGAATAAGAAAGTATACAGCCTGATACTAAGTAAATTATTTGAACTTGTTTAATCTTTTCCCTATCAACTTAGAGAAACGGGTAGAATTAAATTTTCGTATTATTTCTTTCATCGTGAATACAGCCATAGCCCGATTCTCGTATTCAGACTTATGTAAAAATCTAAATTAATGGTTTCCAACCGCAGCTGGTCCGCAAGACGATTGAAGAAAATCTGTGTTTTAAAATATAAAGCTGCTAAAGTATATTATTTTACAATGTAGCTTGAAAGTACTTTAAAAATTAAATATTGTACGAAGCGGTTCATGAAATTTGGGGATCAGAACTAGCTGGTCCTCAGTTGGAAATGGGTTGGAGACACTGATCTAAAATACATCATGTTTTTTGTAGTCATGTATCGAGCTACGTGAGATGATAAAAAAATTGCAAGGACAGTTAACGAATTCATGGAGGAAACCTGATTTTTTTTTGTACTCCTACTGTTATGACATTGATACTAATATGACCAGGCGTCCAGATTTCGGCGGAACAGTCCTTTTTCGAGCTACCTGTCCCTGTAAAATAATGAACTTATCAAAATTAATACCAGTAAGCACTACCGTACTATGACTGCACACAAGATTTGTCCTGTCCTCGTACAATATCTTTTATTTTCACACATTAACGTTCAAATACATAGATAATCAAACTTATTGAGGATGTAGCAATATGAAATTAGTTTGGTTATCGTCTCATAAAACACCGTTACGCGTTGACCTTTATACAATGAAATCATTGAAATTTCGTATATTAGCGTTCAGTACTTAGTAATATTGTTATAACTGACAAAGCAATATGAAATTAATTTGCTTTATATATTTTACAATTTAGTTTGAACTCTTTATGTCTCGAAATTTTGCAGCCTGTATATATAATAGTTATTACTGTAACATTTCACTTACAGACACACTACCATTATATCAACATCTTAAACAAAATTTTGGATTTTTCTCAGATAATTTTGTTAAATAATTTTCATGTCTAGGTTAATTATAACTGCGGAAAATATGACCGTCTGTTGTGTACAACTGACAACCTTATTAATTAAAAAAAAACTTAGGTTGTTTAAAAAAATATCCTCTAATAAAAATTGTAATGATTAGATGGTATGTATTTGTGATGAATGTCATTCTTTTCTATTGAATGTTTCCAAAACACACTCCTGATTTGTTAAAGAAAATAATATCTAATGAAAAGTATAATGATAAGATGGTATGTATTTTTTGTGAAAAGACGTTTTAATTTTTTTAATGCAACCAATTTTTTTTCATCAATTAAGTGTCTCGCTTTGGACTCCAGAAGATCTGGTCACTTTACATTAATACCCCTATTGTAATCATGTTCATAACCCTTATGGTTATCACATTGGTACCTCTATTGTTATCACGTTAGCACCTCAGTTGTTATTATCCCAGTATCTCTAGTGTTATCACACTGTAACATTTTATTTTCAGGTTGTGCGAATGAGCTGAAGGCCAGAAGTCAAGTTGGTAAACTTTGTGATGGAGTAATCGACTGTCCTGATTTTTCTGACGAATTCTCGTGTGGTAAGATTTCTGTAGACTATAAAATTTAAAATCACCATGCATTAATAGAAACTATTGGAACAGAATAAGTCTCGGCCATGGAAACGAATTTAAAAAAAAGAGGGCTTGAATTAATTCTGAATAATAAAATTATGATAATTTTGGCGGTAGATAGAAGAATAAATTGTGTGCGAAGCGACAAAATATCTCAATCTTCGATACGTCCAGAAAGCTAAGCATTACAATTCATGAGACATTCACTGCAGAAAACTTTGTTTCAATGGTCAATGACACAAAATTTCTCAATCTTCGATACGTCCAGAAAGCTAAGCCTTACAATTCATGAGACATTCACTGCAGAAAACTTTGTTTCAATGGTCAATGACACAAAATTTCTCAATCTTCGATACGTCCGGAAAGCTAAGCCTTACAATTCATGAGACATTCACTGCAGAAAACTTTGTTTCAACGGTCAATGACACAAAATATCTTAACCTTCAGTGTGTTCAGAAGTTTAAGCCTAACAAGTAATAAGGGCTCACCACTTTTATATAAAATAATTGATACTAATGATTTCAAGAAAACGTTTAATAATTTACTAGTGTAAAAACTTTAATCTCAGTTCAATCTTAACCAGAGCTTTTCCTAAGGATTTTTTCAACTGCACAATTATGTTTTAACTTCATTTTTTATTACATGACGCCTTAGTACACCTCATATACATATTTGTTACAGGCCCAGTAACAAATGATCCAAAAATGAATAATATTCCAATAAATACATTTATTTATCAACCCCAGAATGGAATTTTATAATCTTAAATATGTTTTTTTTTATATTTATCCACTTGAACTTTCATATATAGGTGAATTTTCAACTGCACAATTATTTTTACAGGTGCACAGTGTATAATCAGTTGCATACTAGGAAAACCACTAATCTTATCAACGAACCGTTTTACTTAGAGTACGCGATGTCAGTTAAAACAATACTTTATTCCATTTTTAATAATATATAATAAATTAAAGGTATTTGCCAAAAAATATATTGCTTTGACTTGTTTCTTATATTTTACATTTTAATTGAGCCTTAAATGCGCTTTAAAAAAAAGTTACTCAAATACCTGAAACAAAATCTATTCCGATACTTAATAAATTCTTTCTATTTATTTGTTTTCCTTTTGAGATTTTGCATCATTATCAAATTAACTGAGTGCATTCTCTGTTTTATCTCATACATCGAAAATTTAGATGTATATTTTTTTTCTGATTTTCGATATATTATTCTAAGTGCTTATATTGCAAAGTTATGTATTTACATTAATACTTTCTACACAAAACGGATTTCGGGTTTTGTTTTGCTCTAAAGAACATTTTATACAAGGCCAGTTTTGCTTTTCTTTTTGATTTCATATGATTGTTTGTTTAGAGAGTATTTTGAATAAGGACAGTTTTTTCAAGAAGGTTTGACCTCACGTGACAGTTGTTCATGAAAATGATGATATAAGTAGCGCCTTGACCACTACTATTTCTAAGGGTATCCCAACCGAACTAATAAACTTTGGTATTGGGAGAAAAGTCTTGTTGGATATAGCAGATGTAGTGTGATTGACATATTATTACATATTCTTCTTTGCTTTCGCTCATATGTTCTTCGAAATGATTGTTTGTTTACAGAGTATTGCGAACAAGGTCAGTTTTTCTGCGGAAATAAGCAGTGTGTACAGCAGAGCAAAAGATGTGACACCTCTCCAGATTGTTTCAATGGAGCAGATGAACGAAACTGTTGTAAGTGGACACAGTAATTTTAAAGTACTCAATCCCAGGTTGTTTTGTAATGGTTATATTCTTTGAGTATTGATAACTAATTCAACTTTATAACTTTCTTTTTATTGAACGAAAATGATGGAAAAAAAATATGAATTTTGAAGAATCTTACAAACACCATAATTTCACAGTGCTATAGATGTTTCTCAAATAAAGTTAGTTAACAACACCAACTGTATTACAATTAAACGTAATATAAACATTTAGGAAGAAAGTGTAATACACAAGGCTTTGTCCACAGGTTGTTTTATTTAACAAGTCGGAACGGGCGTAGCTATGTGGTTAACATACTGGACTGTGGATCCGAGGGTTCATGGTTCTCGTCCCTTTGCATAACAAATACGCCCCGTACCATTAAAGTGATGGTCAAATCACATTATTTGACAGAGAAGGGTAGCCCAAGAGTTGGCGGTAGATGCTGTTGGCTAGCTACTCCTTTTAGTTTGTGAGTTCAAAATTAAGGACAGTTAGTGCTGATAGCCCTTACGTAACTTCATGCAAATATCATAACCAAGCTAAACATTTAACAAGTTTAAAAGAACAAACATTTCTTTTCATTTATTTCAGAAAGAATCATTTTATTTCATTTGCTGCTTAAGTAATTTAGGGTTGACCTTAAGTAATAAATGAATTATTGAGTTAATAAAAGACAGTTACAAATATCTATCTATATCTCTGTTTATCCGTGTGTCCAACTTTCTCTATCTGTCTGTCTTCATGCACAAATGTTTATTTCAATTTAAAAAGAAGTCAAACAGACTGCTTATAAAGGGAAGTAAAGAAAAATAAGTGTGATCACTTGTTGTCTAATTGTAGATTAAAACTCAAATCACGATATAGGTTTTTAAACTTAATTCGATGCTCTACCATCCCTCTAGTGGCTGTAGCACCCAGCATATCCGATCTCAAGGAAGCGCCTCAATCAAAATACCATGAAGGCTATTTGATATTCATCGAAAGAGGAAAGTTTGGAAAAATCTGTACAGACTCCTGGAAGAATACCACATCCCCGTCTCAACGAGATATAATACTTCAGACCTTAGCCATCTCAACATGCAACATGTTAAATTACCAGTAGGTTAATCTTTTCCTTAACCCTAAATCTCCAGCTCCTTATGTTCATGTTGAATGTTTTAATTGTTACGAGTTATTGAGACATTTAAAACAGTTATATAACCATAAGTGGACAGAATTAAAAATACACTTCGTTTTTGTTTATTCGCTATACATTAACAGGGATAAGCTTTTGTTTTAAAACAAGACTTCAGGGATGAAAAAAATAAATAAATATATATTAACGATAATTTAGCTTCAATAATTTACCAAGGCTGTTTGCGTAATTAATGCAATTTTATAATTTATGTACTATATAAATGTTTATATGATTTAACTTTAACAAGTTATTAAGAGAGAATGGATGTTTAATAAAATTTTAAGTTATTCTATATCTATTTCAATTATTTGGTTACTTGCAAATTGCTAAGTTAACAGTGAGTTAGCTTTCATGTAAGTTATTCATATTATTGGAGCACTTTAATATTTAATTTATGCAACTAAAAATTCGTAAATGTATGATTCAGTATGTTTATTTGCATTATCTTATCAAGAAACGAAAAATTCAATTTTTTTTAATTGGGTGCTTAATCTGATAATAAAATTTTTTTTCATATAAATCTTGATTGTTGCATAATATGTGTTTGTTTTTAGAGCTTTAATGTCTATACCTGTGAATTTTCTGAAATATAGCAAGCATTGAAATAATCTTATCCGTTACTGACGCATTAATTTTAAGATTAGTAGTCTAATAACTTATTTTAACTTGCAACACCTAATTTATGAATTTACTGATCTGTTCAATAGTCTAGCAAATTTTCAGAAGTCAGATTTTCTGTAATTACAGAACGGCAGATCATGTCGAGATACGTAGGGATGTAGAAGAAGATGGACTTTATGTGGAGTTGGAGGAGCCTTTATCGTCCACTGTGGAGTGAGTATCCAAGTTATTATTTATTAATCTTTTCACTAAGCACTAGCTTTTTTACGGGAATGATGATTGATTACTTATCTTTTAGTATAAAATATTGTTTTTGAAAATGACATTTTCCCAGCAAACGTTCAATATATGAGATAGGGTTTTTATCATTATGTATCAAGACTTATTGAACCTACATGTTTTTCTGACATATTGAATTAGTTATACATCGACCCTATCTGTCCTCCAGACTGTCTAGTTTTTATCTAGAAATTATATTTAATTTACTCGTTTCACCTTTTTCACCCTTTTTTGTTGCTTGAATATAGATTTTTATATCACTAACGATATAAGCAAATTGACTTTTTCCACTGATAATCAAGTTCCTCAGTTTTTGAAATTAAGAGGATTGATCGTTTTTTATCCAGGGCCCTGACTTTAACGCGCCAACAACATTTTTTTTTTCCATGTATAATAAACACATGATCGAAATTTCCAATTTCAGACTCAGTAAAGTCAGGTCTAGGTCAGTCTTGCCAGATGTATAACTACTGACTTCATTTGTTTCTCAGCAAGTGCCCCCCAGTAGTACAGCGGTATGTCTGTGGACTTACAATGCTAGAAATTGGGTTTCGATACCCGTAGTGGGCAGAGCACAGATAGCCCATTGTGTAGCTTTGTGCTTAACTTCAAAACAAACAAACTCAGCAAGTGCTGCCTGGTGGCCAGATAGTTTGATCTATGGTCTGTCAAAAGCATCATTTTGAATGTTCTTAAGCTATCGTGCTCTGCCCAATGCAGGGATCGAACTCCGAATTTAAGCGTGATACGCCCCAAGATTACCGCTGAGTAACCATTTGATGTTGTTCTCATTTCATGAACAATGACAAAGTGAAATTGTTTTTGATAGTGGAATTTCGTTAATTATGCCTAATATTCTCTTCAACGTTATTGTTTTAAGCTATATTTACTTTAGGTAAGTTTGCGTAATTTAAAATTTTGCCGTATAATTAATGCATAATTTTTATTCTGCATAATCAATAATTTTATGGCCGAGAAAAATCGGGGACTACTTATAAGAATGATGTTTCAGGCCCTCTGCTGTCTTTGGAAGTACTTCTTCGATCTTCAGTCGTGCTTAGTCTGGTGATCATATTTACACAATATTGCCCAGAACCATAATTGTTACTAAAACAAGCTTCTAAGAACAGTAGAGAAGTCAATTTTAGATCATAACTTTTTATAGATTTTACCGAAGGCATTCTACTTCTGCATGGACATATGCTTATCGTACCAGTTTTAAATATATGAAAGACACAAAAGTACATGGGAAGACTTGACACCCATGCGATCAAACGGGTTGTTATTATTACAGTTTCTTCGGCCTTTTTCCATGAAAAACCTATTGATTTCGGGGTTGGCTGGAAGCTTGTGAACTTGTGTCTACTTCAAATTCTTCTTTATTATTTTGTTATCTGTAGTAGAAGATACACCCAGTTTAATTACAATGATATTTTGGGTCGGAAGGTTCTCTTTTGTAAACATAACCTCCACTTTGTAGACGAATATTTCTTTGGATTAGTTTGAAGTGTGGTTTCGGAGCTTGTTTATGTTCGAAATACTCTGCTATGCGAGTTTTTTGCTTTTATGGCTCCCTTTTTGCAAATGTTCTGTTCCTTGGGTGTGAGATATTCTATAAGCGATATTGGACTACCAGAATGGTCGGAAGTTCGTCGTGAATCAAATATATATCTCCTGTAGCACCTAAGCTCGACACTCCATAGCATTAGCAAATGCAAATCGTTGTTATAAAGTGCTACTAACCATTTGCAGTAGAAAGTTTTGCTGAATTAAATAGGATTAAGCGATAGCGCTATTATTATACTAAAATGTAAGATAAAAAGAAAGTATACGTTACTAAAAAGAAATGAATAAAATTAACGTTCTGCTGTGTACTTAATTAAGGGTTAAATTTTTCTTAGTATTAGCCTTTATATAAGAACACTGTAAACAGTTGAGACATTAGTACTTTCGTTGGTATTGTTGTATTCAGCATTCAATGATACTCCGGAAGATGTGTTTTAGTTTAACAACAGAAAGTCAGAGTAAAATTATTTGTTTCATTTTAACAAGCGCTGTTTCCACTACGAGAATTTAACCTTTCAAATTTACACCTGAAACGGGGAGGAAAAGTATCCAAGTGTCTTAAGTGTAAAATACTTACAAATGCTTTCAAATATATATCTTTAAAACATGGACTAAAATTTAAATGGACATCCATAACAGCATTAATGTTTGGCTTGTCCATCATACTGTTTGGTTTTGATGTATAGGTTTGCAGCGGAAGTAGCGAATCAAAGAGTAGCTTAGTTTTCTGTATCATCTTTTCTTTACTCAAACTCACGTTTTGGTAAGGAAAAAAATTCAGAAACACATACATATTGCCCTTATGACTCAGATTCTGATTGATGTGTTTTGCATTGTTTCTTAAGGTTCTCAGAGACCCCCTGTGAAAGTCGTCATGTTGTCTACATGAAATGTGCAAACCTTGGTGAGTAACAATTGTTTTAATTGGTAACGTATTCTGTAAGTAATCATGGTGAATGTGGTGTGCGATTATTCCGAGAACAACAGTGCTTTAATGGAGCATGCCAGTAGTTCATATAGATTAATTGTTTAACTTACTTGGGAAAAGCGCTTCTTACTTCTCGGAAAATTCTGTCAGGGACGAATCAGGGGTTACTACAAAGCGATTAAAATACACTTATTTCCATCAGTATAAATAAGTTTTCTCTCACAAAATAAATGAAAAATAAATTGAAAGATATATTAAACTATCAAAGTTCTATAGGTACAAGAAGGATTCTCCCCAGTTTACAAGAAGAAATTTTAAAGAGAAAAATATACGTGAACACCTAGAATTAGATTTGACGAAGAAAGGCTACCGACAAAGTCACGCGAAAACACCTATAATCAGATTTGACGAAGAAAGTCTACAAAGAAAGACATACGAAAACACCTAGAATCAGATTTGACGAAGAAAGCCTACTTAAAATGCTATACGAAAACAGAGAATCACATTTGGTGAAAAAACAATTTGTTGAAAGATATTGTTTTGGTCAATAGGATTCAGTTAATCTCTGGTTAGGAAGTTGCTTGTCTGCCTTTATATGTTTCTCTTCTTTTTTCCTTCTTAGTCCTTAATAAAGATCGTTCGACGGAAACCGAAAATATAACTACATTTTCTGTTTTATACAGTTATTTAATCATGTCAAAATTTTCAATCGTTATTGCTGCATTTGTCGTGGCCAAAATGTTTGCATACTGTTCTATATTGATGTTATTGTCTACATGCATGGATGGAGTAGTTATCGAGTAAATGCCCGAGTAGTAACAGAGAAGGTAGCGTATGATCAGACAAACATACATGTACGAGTTGTTATTCTGGTCTGTATAAGTTGTTTTGAGCATTTGTTTGTCAAAACACACATACACACCTGTTTTGTATGAAAGGACGAGTTTTTGGTATAATCTTTTTCGAAACAGATCAACGTTGTTCAAACAATTTCTCTGTATTTGTTATAGGGTCATGCCTCTTCACGTGACAGAAATTATAGGGCGTCAAATTGTTCGACTGTCCAGAAATGGTATGAAGCAAACGCATCGTCAGAACAGTAGGGTACTCTCAGTGTACTGTATCCAGAATATTGAAACGTCATCGGATTACAGGAAACGTTGTTTCAGGAAATTCTACTGGTAGACGCGGAAAAACTATTGCCCGAGATGACCGTGTTTTGATCAAGTTAACACGTCAAGGTCGAAAGAAGTCTTGTAACACCTTGTAACATGAACACATTTATTCCAGGGTATCCATAAGAACAGTAAATATAAGATTGACCAAACAACGTTAGTTTGCAAGAAGGGCTACCTGCAAACCGATATTAACCAGAATTCACCATCGTCACTGTGTTACTTAGGCAAGACAGCATGCCAACTCAAAATTAGGACACTGGCAACACGTCATCTTTTCAGATGGATCCTGTTTTTGGCTTGTTAAAGCTGGTGGTAGGATTCGTGTTTGTCGTTTGTTTGGAGAACAGATGAGGGAAGACTGTCTTTCCCATAGAAAACACACAAGAGGTGGCGCAGTACATGTTTGAGCAGCTATTCATCATGGTAGGAAAACTGCTCTTTATATCCTCCAGGGAAACGTCAATGGTGACTCTTACAGGTATCACATGGAAACAATATTTGTGCCATATGCTAAGACAAATTTAGGCAATAACTTAGTGTTTCAAAATAACAATGCCACTGCCCACAGTATGCCTGTTGTACAGAATTATCTTGATCAGCAGGACGTTACAAGAGGGGCATGGCCAGCAAAGTCTCCAGATTGTAATCCCATTGGGAACTGTTGGGCAGAGATGAGTCGGAAAATTGCTAACCATGATCCTAAACCAGTTACTATAGCTGAGGTTCAGCGCCTTCTAGTGACAAGTCGGGATGAAATCAATACCTCATCAACAGTATGCCATGTTGCCTTACAGAGGTTATTAGAGTCGAAGAGGACCAACGAAGTACTGAATGTTTAATACAAGATAATTAAAAAATGCTAATTTCAAAAGGGGAATAAGGATCATCAAAAAGTTCAGAAACAAGTTGAATCAAAATGCAAAGATTATATTTTTAAGCCTACAGCTAGGGACTCTACAAAAAAGTTAACAAACCAAGCTGGAAATAATATCTACATTATTTTCTCATGCTACAAATCCCTATTTTGACTCTATGTCTACAGTACTTATCAATTTTAGTGAACTCAAGTCCCCCAGTGGCACACCAGTATGACTGTGGACTTACAATGCTAGAAACCGGGTTTCAAAACCAGTGGTGGGCAGAGCACAGATAGCCACTGTATAGTATTGTGCTCAACTTCCAACAAACAAACAGATATACTCAATACTGCATTCATAACTATTTTCCAGGCTTCAATAAAACATTCGTAGCCGTTTTTGTTTTTGTAGCGGCTTGTAAAACTATAATAATTAATAATGAGGCTGGGGACATTGTTATAAATATACACATTGTTTACTCTAATAAAACGAAATGTATCCGACTGGTATAATGGTGGTTAAATGGCTTTTACATTTCTGCGATGCTAGAATGGCTTCGAATAGCTTATGTTGGTGGTGAAGTAGAACTTAAAAAAATTTAGAGGGTCTTAATCTCGACTTTCAAGAATCAACTTATAAGTAGCCCTACAATCTTCGCAGGAATTTACTTAGTAGTTGTACATAGATTTTGGCGCAGTTTACCTAGCTTTTTTTTTTTGCTGTAAGCTTCGGTGCTTGAATGGCTTCGAAGAGAAACTTGGCAAGTAGCGATGAAAAAACTGGTAAAATATCCCCTTTTCTTTCAAAAATCAACATAAAAGTACTCCTATGACCTGCACAGGAGTTTTTTAGTGGGTTTTCCCAGGTTTAAATAAAATATTCATATCTGTTTTTGCTTTAGGCTTGTGAAACAAGAATAGTAATAATAACATGAAGAATAAATGTATGAATTATGTCTAACAATAAGAAAATCTACTTTTTTTGCTATTATCAATATTTTAGAAGCCTTAGCCATTGAGATAGAAGATCTTGAGTGTTGTTGCAAGAACAAATCTACTTCTTAAGATAGATTTCCCCGTATATTTTATTGGAATGTTTGTGGAATTCCTGGGCGATCCCTATTATGAACCACTATTGTGGTTGATGATGAACTGATATAAGGTTGCAGACGCTATTTATAATAATTTGATATTATATTTTGTCATTATATATGTTTTGGTAAGGTTTGTTGTGATAGGTGGAATGCTGAATTACACATCTTTCTACAGGTGTCTGATAAAATTGTTTGCTGTTCTAATAAATCGTTCATGATGTCCATAGAACTTATTTCATTGTACAAGTTAGATATATAGATGATTAATATAACATGCATTTCTCAGTTTGACAGCGCTAAGTGTATTTGTATTCCATCTTAATAATAATAATCTTATGTATTACAAAATATGTAAACATTTTGGCCAAGACTGTATTGATAGCATTTCTGCTTAACAGGCCCATAATATGTTACATCGAAAATTTTAAAAGAGTAAATATTGAACTGTTTTGTCATTATTTATCTTACACACAAACATTATACTAGCTCGCTGTGTCTGACAATTTGGTGTTTTCTCTCTACAGAATGTGGAGTCAACACTCCATTTAAGAACAGTCTTCACCCTGTACAACTACAAAAAGTAACCCATGGCAACTGGCCTTGGTACGCTGTCCTGATACAGAATGGAGAACACGCCTGCGATGGTACTTTAGTTGACCAGGCATGGGTCATTACCTCCACTGTTTGTTTTAACAAGTAAGGATGTTTGTGTGTTGTTAAGTACAAAACTAAATAATGGGCTAATTGCGCTCTTATCACTGCTAGTACCAAAACAGCAGCAAGTAAGGATCATACACAGTTTGGCCTTATAACATACAGAAACATGATAAATTTAGATGCTTTAAACAGACTTTCATTCAATTATTGCATAGAGCTCACACAAGAGATTAACACCGAACAACTGTCAACGTTAATGGTTAGCAGTCCGCACTAAGTACAAGTAGATAGTTCCATAACAGTAGATGTTTAACAACTTTAGACTCCAGTTAGCATTTAGATATATAATTATTAATTCAAAAACTCAACTTTTTCATGGTCATTTCAGGTCAAATTATGGACAGAGTAGAATGTGTCAGAGTATTTAAACACGAGTTGAGTTGTCTTATGCGTCGCTCTATAACGTTAGTGAAAATTATTTGGTCCAGATATTCGTGCAAAGCTACCCAAAGGCTATCTACATTAACCGTTTCTAATTTTAATCTTATAGACTAGAGGAAAGGCAGCTAGTCACTAGCACCCACCGTTAATTCTTGAGTTACTCTAATCGAATAGTGGGATTTGACCGTCACTCTTATAACACACCCATTGCCCTATAGTGTGCAGCGCGATTTGGGGCAAAGGAACGCGAACCATGGACCCTCAGATTCATAGTTTAGCACGCTAGTCGCCAGAGTACACTAGAACAATAGCACATCTGTTTTTCCATTTCAATAAATGAAAACCTAAATATGTACAAATTATCTGATTCACCAGAGTTTCAAACTTTCTTACATTTTAACGCTGCATAATGTTACATTCTTGTGACTTAGATACCCCAGGACCAACTGGACAGTCCGGCTTGGAAGTGTGAGATTAGGATCATCCTCACCATACGACCAAGAACGACGAGTAGCTGGAGTCATTAAATCGCCTTTTGGAGCTGGAGAAGTGACTCTAATAAAACTGAATACACCAGTGACCATGACAGACTACACTATCCCTGTGTGTCTCCCTCAACCAAACATAACAATTTTACCAGGAGATGACTGTTTCACTCTAGGATGGGATGTCAAAGGTGAGCTAAAATGTTGCCCTGCTTAAAGGATGTTAATTGCACATTGCATTTTATTAGCATACTTTGTATATGTTAATGAAGTAACAAGCCATCGCAGATACGTGCCTTGGCGCCATGGGTGAAATGTTTACCATATTTGTTTCATGGCCCTTGTTTTACCATTCGACAGTGTAATGTAAACGGTGTAGTAGAGCTAAAGAGGACGACATTTTCAAGAAAAGAGTATTTTATGTTCCCTGTGGAATTAGAAATAATTGCACAGCAGAATATGTAGGACAGCATCAGGCTCTGAAACCACACCCCAATCCACTTTTGAAACGCACCTTCTCAAAAGTAAAAGGATTTCCAAAGAGAACCCTCTAACCCCCAAAAAGCCATTGTGATGGAACTTTGCGTATCCCCAAGTGCCATTAAAAAGAATAATGAACGGAGATTTGAGTGGTAACTACGGATCTCGAACCAAATGTTAACAAGCTTTCAGCCACGTCTCGAAATCAACATCTGTTTTCATAAGAAATATGATAGAAGAAAAATCAACGAAACAACCCACACTTTTGGAACAAAACATTATTACAAAAGCTAGGAAACTAGTTTCAACTCTTTAGAACTGAATAGGATATACGAAAGTGTCGAAACTAGTTTCCTACTTTTCGTCTCAATATTTTGTTCCAAAAATGTGGGTTTTTTCCGTTAATTTAGCAAACATACACGGTATTGTGCATTTTACACTAAAATGAGGGGAGAAATTAAAACCACAGAAACCATATTCTACTACGTACCTGATGCTTTCCCAGATGTAACTCCAATGGTCTTTTGTAACTTTGTGTTGATTAAACGTGGTCCAAGAAGACGACATCCATACACAGTTGAAAGTCTGTAGAGTGTTTGTCAGAATACGCCGACTAATATTCACCTTCCTGTCCTTTACGACTTCTTGCAATAGAAATTTTCGAGTTGGACAAGAGTGATTAATCGTGACCATCTATGCTCGACAATGATGGAAGTAGCTTCAAAGGCAGCAGGGGATCTGGAACAAAGTGCTGATCATTTTAGTAAGTCAGTTAACGTTCCATGCTAAATCAAATACCAAAGGTCACTACCAATATTAAAGTTCTTATCCTCATAAAGAAACCAACAAGTCTCAATCAACCTTAATTTTAATACCTTAAACAAGAATGGACGTTCCCGGTCTGCATCTCCCTGCTCTGCTCTACACCTCTCAGTTCTCCTAAGCCGGCCGTCACGTGGTCATCCGTCGCACACGTCCCGCGAAAGAAAGATAAACTTCCGAAGACAACACCCAACTCAGCAAGGGACTCCTTTTTTCTCTTCGTTTCCACGTCCCCTCGCAGCTCTTCCCTTGGCTTGTGATTTCGTCACTAGGACAAGTAATTATTTAACCTTCACTTATGTAAGCATTCAATTCTTAAAAGTCCCGGCCACTTAATTCTAATTATGTAGCGGGGTGAAGAGAAACAGAAGTTTCTGACCGCCCCTGGTTATATTTCATTCCCTTTCGGAGAATGAGATATACTTTTAACCTAAATTCCTACCATGCCTGTCCAGTAAATCAGTTAAATAGCAGTTAAAATAATTGAAAAAAAAAGCTGGTTCTTATATAAATGATATACTAAAATAGACTATATAATGGTATCTTGTACGTATAACTAAAGTCCTTAACATGAGAACCATTGCCAGATATGCCAGTTTATACTAATATGAAATGATGGAGTACAAATTTGAAGGTTTCCTTCAGTTTTTTATTTTTATTTAATTGTCTAAAACTTTTAGATTTGCGACGACATCTTGCGGGATATATTTCTATTATTTTTTTAATTTGTAATGCCATCTTAAGTATGTTCGTAGTAATGTTAAGTACAGAAATGAAACCCAATAAACGCGGACGCTTACGGATAGTGGACGTTTCTACATCAGCATTTAATACATTCATGATTAGGTATTTCATCTAGTTAAGTTATACGAGTTTTGTTATTGTCGATGTTTTTGATACTAATATTAGCATGTTGTGAAGTTTTTTTTTATGTTTGTTTATGCTTAAGCATTTTTTAAATTTGTTGTGTTGTGTCGTGAGAATTGTTTGAGTTGGATAAACTGGTAGTGAAATCTTGAAGAGTTTCCCGTAGACACAATTTTTGAGGTTTGTTATGATATTTTGCGGTATTCTTCATGGTTTGATGTGTATTTTTAGGTTTGTTACAATGAGTTGTGGAGTTTGTCATAAATGGGAACTTGTACGTTATTTGTTTTTCAAGGTGATCAGTTACAGCAAGTTATGACGAGGATAAGCTTTCCAGGATCTTGCACAACCAACGGATCATTTCCATTTCACGACATTGAAAACCTGTGTACGGAAATGGTTGGAAATACCCTGACTAACATATGTATGGTAAGACTTTAGCTGTTTTCCTTAATTGCTTCAAAAATCTACCGTTTCTTTGATTGTTTTAGAATTTTCTTGCAACGCTACACAAGAAAGCTATCTGTGCATATGCGTTCCTAATTTTGAGCTTATAAACTAGAGGGAAGGTAGCTAGACAACAGTATCCACTGCCAACACTTGGGTTACTCTTTTCTGACTAAGTAGTTAAAATCTTATAGCTTGCCTACACCCAGAGTGCGTAGTACGTTTTTTTTTTTATACAACGGAACGCGAACCATAAACCCTCGAATTTACAATATGGGCACGCTAACCATTGAGTCACGCCCTGCCAAAAATTACTATTAAACTTATGTCTATATATTTGGTAAACTTACTGTGCTGTTTAAAAGTTTTTCTCTCAACAGCAATTTACGTTACTCATCCTTGGGCTATAGTTCTTACCACTTTTGAAAGATGTCAGTTAGAAAGAATAGAATAAGGGCGAACTCAATAACGACCAATCAATAAATCCTTTATACATCTAACTCATTCACTCTAATATTTAAATACAGCTTCTGCTTGACCATTTTTTTCTGAAGACACGAAAACTGGAATAATTTCTTTTACAGTTTTGAATTTCATAGATGTTTTTTGTTGTTGTCACTTTTGTATTAAATGGAATTCTTAGCTTTATAGGATTATAAAAATTTAACTGCAACTTTACCCTGTTTTTAGTGTATTTTAGGTCCAAAGTTTGTTGATAACACTACATAGTAAAAAAATTCAGAAGGTTTTTTTTCGATCGTGACTACATATCTAAACCTACCAATCGGCACACATCATTTTAACACCCTAAGTATTACCTTGTAACCAAGCCAAAACAAATAATTTCAACAAGTGAGCCAATCCTCCAAGTAGTAACATGTAACCAATACACAATAAATCATTTCAACCTGAAAACTAAATCTCTAAGTATTACCTTGTAGCCAAACCAAAATAAATCGTTTCAACAATAGAGTCAAACCTTATTTTTATCGGAAATATTCATTACTCCCCTGACTTGTTCAGGAACAATATTTTAATATTTTTACTCTTTTTTTTTTATTTCATAAAAGCTTCTTATTAATTGTATATTGTTTTAGTTATACTATCCAATATTAATGCCAAGGATTAAGTCCTTTTTAAACTTTTGGAAACGATTTCATGAAATCGTAAACAAATATTTTGTGGAAGTAGCTAAGAGTGACCTTTCTCCATTTATGATTTTTGTCTGTTTATAATTAAGCACAAAGCTACACAATGGGCTATCTGTGCTCTACCCACCACGGATATCGAAACCCGAATTCTAGCGTTGTAAGTCCGCAGGCATACCGTTGTGCTATTGGGGGGTTCCATTTATGATCCCAGTTGAATACCAAATTTATGCTTCTTTATCTTGAATTTTCTTCAGTTCAAAGTTACGTAGAGTTTTAATGTGTTATTGTTTTTTGTTTTTGTTTTACTCCATTGCAGGGAAAGGAACTAGGAGGGCGATCTCTATTTTGTCAGAAGAATACTAAATGGTATCTTGCAGGAATTGGAAGTCAAGAAGTAACTTGTAAAGAATATGTCATGCCTCGCGTATTTCACAGAATAACAACGCATGCTCAATGGATCACGTACACCATAGAATCTCTTCGACCAACCTGAACTCGGGAGGTGTTTTATTATATAATTCGTATATACTCTGTTAGTGCTGCACCATATCAAATAGTGACTTCGCTAGTGAAAAGACCAAAGGTCTCATTCCCGTTATATACGTTTTATAGATCTCATGCTGGGAGATTAAATACTATAAATAATAATAATAAAACTAATATTAAGTATTACATACTTGTTATCTTGTTTCATTTCGTCACTGTGGTATTTCGTGAAACTTATTACGAAACAAACAAACGAAAAAATCGTGCCTTAGCTACACTTGATTTTACTTCTCTACGCAAGCACTGTTGTTACTTTAAGAATGGTTGCATTTACTTCCCTATGTAAGAAACTGTTCATTGTCAATTCAAGAATATTTGGATTTTACTCTCTATGTAGGCACTATTCATTGTTACTACAAGAAGTTATTTACTTCTCTATGTAAGCACTGTTTATTGTCACTATAAGAATAATTATTTACTTCCCTATGTAAGAACTGTTCATTCTCACTACAAGAATATTTGTATTTACCTCTCCATGTAAGTACTATTCATTGTCTCTACAAGAATAGCTGTATTTACTTCTCTATGTAAACACTATTCATTGTTACTACAATAATAGTTATTTACTTCTCTATGTAAACATTGTTCATTGTCTCTACAAGAACAGCTGTATTTACTTCTCTATGTAAGAAATGTTCATTGTCACTATAAGAATAGTTATTTACAATGTTCATTGCCACTACAAGAATAGTTGTATTTACTTCTCTATGTAAACACTATTCTTTGCTACTACAAGAAGGGTTTGAGATCCAGTTTGTAAAGCTGTGTATATTTTGTATGAATAGTAAAGAAGTTTTGATTTGTAATACAAAATTGTTATATTATTTTTAATGCTTGTATGTGTGTGAATAAATAAATAATTTGTTTCACATCCAGTGTTTTATTTGTAACTATTAAATATAGAACGTAAAATTTGTAGTAGGTTGAAACTACATAAGTGGAAGTTAAAGATAGAAGTTCCGAATTTTCATAATATGCATTTTCTATTGATTTGTTTTATGATTCTACAAAATATTCAAATTCAGGACATCGTAACCTGTCAGAAGTTGGATATTTTAGAAATAATTTTGGTCGATACAATTTATCAATCAGTTAATAAAACATGCTGTGTATGCCGAGAGACAGATACGGTAAATTAATTGATTCTGTTTATATTTCTATCTAGTGGCACTTTTGGGAAGCTTATAGTACTTAAATGTTGCTTTAGTGCAGCACAGCTACAAACGTTAACAGTCTCTAAACAGAACCGAATGGGAAAATAAAAGTATGCCATAACTTCTAATCAGAAGTAGTAAACCTCTCTGGATTAAAACTACAATATTAGCATGTTGTGTAAGTTTTTTTTATTGTTTTGTTTATGTCTTAAGACTATTTTTTAAA